TGGCAGAGCAATAATTGCTAGGTTATAGTAAACAATTTCAGAAATCCAGGATTATAGTGTGTGATTGGATTCCAGAAGATCATGGTCTTTCTAATTCAGTTCTTGTTTTACAGTGTGGGGGGAAAGGGGAAACCTGCCAATGTCAGTGCAGGTAAAACGATGTCCATATTGCACTGATGACACTGAGACTGATGGTTTGTGGGTTATGCTAGCTCTGTAAAATAGCCTATCTGTTTTACTGGGGATGAAGGATAGAATATCATATGGCATACCTGCAGTCTAATTCAGTTTCATTATCTAGTCTCCTGATGTATGTTTTTTCTTCTTGCTTTTGTATGTTTCTTTGCTTGCCTTTAGCAAAAATAGAGGCAACTATACAGTTGATTGTAACCACAGTATAGCTAATTCCATGCTGAAGGAGGTGGTGATGAAGGAATCAGGGAAATTGAGGTTTTCAGCCATTGGTGGAAAGATGAAAAGACATTAGGTCTGATGTTTGTGGGATAAGTAGTACAACCCATTGAAAAATATTTGACAGGCAGTCTGGTGTACATGTTCTTTAGAGGTCAGGTTTACCTCCCTATGTAGAGCTAGTATCCAGGCCTTAGCACTTTTCAGAAACCAGTAATGGCAGGTCTCTTTTCTGATGTAAGTTATGTTATGTGAATATGATCTAAATAACATCTCAACAGAATTTACTGATAACATAAGAAACAGATTCTCACTACTAAGCATAATAGACCGAAAACCAGAGGAACTATGGTCTGAAGCCAGGGACATAATAAAAGAAGAATGCAGACAGACACTTTGAATAAACAAAAAGAAAGAGAAAAAACCATAGATGACAGAAAAAACACTACAAACAATAAAGAAAAAGAGTAGAAGAAAAAGGGAGATAGGAACAAACTAAGAATTATGAATACAACAATACAATGGCTTGTGCAGAAAGATAAAGAAAATTAGTACAACGACCAATACAGAGAAGTAGAAGATAATAACAAAAAGGGAAGAACAGGAGATCTATTTCACAAGATCTGAGAAATAAAAGGAAAATTCAAACCAAGGACTGGGACAATCTATGACAATAAAACTAACATAATTCAAGAACCAAGAAGGAATAAAAAGACATTGGATGCAATACACAGAATAATTATACAAAAGAGATGACAAAATGAAGGACACATGGAATGAAGAGCCATATGAAGATGAACCCCAAATTCTAAAAAGTGAGGTGGAAACTGCAATAATAGAAATAGCAAAAAACAAATAACCAGGAACAGATGATATGCCAATTGAACTTCTGCAATCCACATTGACAGAGTCAACTCTAGTGGTAACCAACATATGT